TCTCCTTTCTTAGTAGTTTTTCTGAAGCTTATAATACCTTTTAACTTATCAGAATCCTTTAGATCATTTTGGTGAGATAGAGGAACTTTCTTACTGCATAATTTTGCCCCTCCCTCTTTTAGTGATATAATTTCTGTGTATGTATTTTGTTTATAAAATGTTTAAAATTTAATGATGCGGTGTTGTAATTGTTACTTTGTATAGGTATTAGTGCCTTTCAAAGCTGAGGAAAGAAAGGAGAAATTGCTGTGTCAACCTTACTTAACAATTTCTGGTCATCCTGTGCTGCCTGCAGACATCTCTCTCCTGCTGAGGGCTTTGATCCACCATCTCATTTGTGGTGTTATTGGTGACTATATTGTGGGTTAGTATATTAAAGTACCCCAAGTAATACCATAACATATTGTTTTCTGCAATTGTTTTCTAAGCCAGTTAAGAGAAGACATGAGGTTTATGGGGCTTTTGGGTACTCTAACATTCCCCCATCTGAAGAGGTAAACCTAAAATCTTTTAAGGATTAGATAAAAGTTCCCAAATACTTTCAACATTTTTGGCCTTGAAACAGAATATGTTGCTAACAGTCCCCAGGACATAATGACTTTGAGCCAAGCAAGTGGCTACATTACTTTGGGGTCTTTTTTTTTTTTACCCTAACTGCCTAGCCAATTCCTACCTCCTATTCCTATCACACCATCCTCTGAAGGGGTTACCTAGATTACCAGTAGGAAATAAGGATGCTGACAGCTCTGGCTTCTTCCATGTTGAACAGGGATGCCACAGGGTGAGGCAATTGGGAGTACCCCTTCAGTGGGTCTATCTAAAAGACCCCCAAATTGCATAACTCTTGTCTCTAAGGGGAGAAGAAAGTCCTTGAATCATGAATGGGAGATGTGAAGGAGAAGAAAAGGCAAGAGAAATTAACATTACATGTTCTAGACAGGGAACCAGAAAAAGCAGAATAGGGCAATTTTCAAATGTTTAAGTGAGAGTCCACTGGAGTTTCTTGACAAGGACTTCCCAAAGCATCCCTCTATTGGGTTCTTCCTCATTTTTCTTTTGTCTTCCAAGGCTGGACTAGTTGGCTGGGAAGAGTGGCTGGAGACTCAGGTCCTGTGAACCTGCTTGTCACTCCTTTAATGAATGAGCAGAACCGTCAACAGATCCTTTTAATAAGATGATGCTATACAGCAGTCCCTTCTGCATGAAATAACCACCATCATCACATCAACAATCCCGATTGTAACTATGTTTAGAGATCAGGCTCAACGGAATTCATGATGATGGTAGTTATTTCATGCAGAAGGGACTGCTGTATAGCATCATTTCATTAAAAGGACCTGAAATTTAAAAGGATTTGGTGCTAAGAGCCACATATGTTGTTTGTTTTTCTGAGTCTGTGTTACTTCACTTAGTATAACAGTTTCTAGATCCAGCCATTTACCTACAAATTTCATTATTTCATCTTTCTTTACTGCTGAATAGAACTCCATTGTGTAAATATACCACATTTTTGTTAACCACTCATCAGTTGAGGGACACTTAGGTTGCTTCATCTCTTAGCTATTGTGAAAAGAGCAGCAACAAACATGTTTGTACAAGTGTCTCTGCAATAGGATGAGTCCTTTGGGTACATGCCAAGGAGTGGTATAACTGGGTCATAATGTAGGTTCAGTTTTAGTTTTTTAAGAGTTCTCTACACTGTTTTCCATAGAGGCTGTACAAGTTTGCAATCCCACCAGCAGTGAATGAGTGTTCCCCTTTCTCCACATCCTCACCAGCATTTGGTATCATTTGTTCTTTTGATCCTAGCCAGTCTGATTGGGGTAAGGTGATACCTTAGGGTGGTTTTAATTACTTGCATTTCCCTAATTACTAATGATGTCGAACACTTTTTTAGATGTTTCTTAGCCATCTTTATTTCTTCCTTTGAGAACTCTGTTTAGATCTGTTTTGAGGTCTATATATATATTCTGGATGTTCAACCTCTGTCAGATGTGTCACTGGTGAAGATTCCCGCCCCCCCATTCTGTGGGGTTTCTCTTCGCTTTCTTGATTGTTTCTTTTGCTGAACAGAAGCTGTTTAGTGAGGTCCCACTTACTAATTGCCAACCTTAATACCTGAGCAACTTTTGTTTGATTTAGAAAATACTTTCTTACACCTATATGTTGTAAGTTACTGCCAATATTTTCTTCTAATAGTTTCAAGGTTTCCAGTTTCACATTGAAGTCTTTTATCCATTTTGAGTTGACTTTTGTTCAAGGCAAAAGATAAGGATCTAGTTTCAGTCTTCTCCAGTTTTCCCAGCATCATTTATTGAAGATGCTGTTTTTCCTCCATTGTGTGTTCTTGGCACCATTGTCAAATATCAGGTGGGTGAAATTGTGTGTACTCAGGTTTGGATCTTCAATGATGTTCCATTGATCTACGTGTCTTTTTATGCCAGTACCATGCTGTTTTTATGACTGTGGTTCTGTAATATACTTTGAGATGTGGTATAGTAATCCCCCCCACCATTGCTCTTTGTGCTCAGGGTTATCCAGGGTCTTTTGTGCCTCCATATGAATTTAAGGATGCATTTTTCTAATTCTGTGAAGTATGTAATGTGAATTTTGATTGGAATTGCATTGAATTTATATATTGCTTTGACAGGATGGTCATTTTAGCAATTTTAATTCTTCCAATCCATGAACATGGGAGATCCTTCCACTCTCCTAGTGTCTTCCTCAGTCTCTTTCTTTAATGATTTAAAATTTTCATTGTAGAGATCTTTGGTGTCTTTGGTCAGATTTATTCCAAGATTTTTTTTTCAGCAACCG